GCTTGTTCGGAGGAACTTAATGACGGAGTAAACCAATTTGGTGTCAGCAATGCATAATTTGATGGTGGCAACCCGTAGATTGGTTTTATTAATACCGAATTTTGTTTCGACAAGCTTTGGATTGGGAACGTATAGATTTAAGAGCGTACAGTGTTAATCATGATGGCAACAATTCACCAAATCAAGATGGAAATTTATTACCATGTACATATTTTACACATGCCAATCTAAGCTGTGTGCCAAACAAAGCACGATGCAATAAGCATGTGTCAAAAACAATCCATGGGGGGTTAGTGTCTAGTTCATCACCAGGTCATACGCCCACTAGACGGGGTCAACCGCCCAAGGAACCCGATATACCTCGATGCCCAATCGAGACCGTGAACACTGCCGGAACCAAAAAGGTCTGTTCGGGAGCCTCTTCTTGGTTGGTTTTAAATGAGGGTTTTTCATCAACTCCTCTAGGTGAATTGCCAGTGGTTCACTGACCTGGTTACAGCCCAGGATGGTTATTTTTCATCACACTTTGGTGGGGAAATATCCACCACGCGAAGGCAGTGAGTAGGGCTTCCTCAGCAAAGGTTACTTTGAGAAGGTTGATTGCATAGGGGCATTTCGTGAAATACAAAGGAAAGTAACTGACTAACTGAACATAGACGAAGAAACTCTCCCCAGGGCCATAATGAGGATAATTAACGAACCCATATTATACGAATATACGAGATCCCTCAAAATAAAAGAGTCGATGTTTGGTCCTAAACTCATATTACTCAGCATGACGACAGAAACGTAAAGGAGGGGGCTTTAAAAAGCATTTTTCTCCGCATCTTATAGTGGGGAACACTAGAGGAAGCGAACCCCCCAGTTATGAGCGCCAGTGAATTAGGACCATGGGATCACCGTGGTGAACAATAGAAGGCGTGGTCCCAAGTTGGATGAAAGTAAGGCTAGGTGATGTCAGTATATGAGAATGGGTAAGGACGTAGAGGAATAGAGAGCAAAAGCACGTGCAAATTTTAAGGGGAAAATGTACCTAAAGTTTTGTGAACACCATCGGCCTCATCTTTTTTCGTCTCGTCCA